TGTCCAAAATACCCAGGGAAAAGCAGATTCAATTGATTGGACCAGTCGCAGGAAGACATCCCACATTGAGGCCTCTCGACCAGCTCGACCAAGTTCCATGTTCCATGTGTTGCCATCGATATTAAATTAAAGCGATAACAAATTGTAATTACAGGGCTTGGCGTGGAACAGCATGGAAGTTAATGGAGTTTCGACCAGCGAAGCACTGCGGCACATAAATAAACAAATTGACATAAATTAGTAAAGATTGAAAAGATTGCGTTCAGTATCGTCGATGAGCATCACGGGACTCCAGTTGCCAGTTGCCTGTGGCCTGTGGCCTTTGTTGTCTTTGTTATAAATGTGGCTTTCATGGCTGGGCACGTGTAAATCGTGTGTAAAGCTGGCAGTCTGCATTAAATACACATGTACCATTGGCCATTCAGCTGTCTCCGTGTGTGGCATAAATTAAAAGCTAAATGAGGTCAAGAAATAAATTTCAATTTGATTGCCCCAGAGACATGTGCTGCCGCCAGAGCAGCAACAAGTTGCCTGCACTTAAAAGACTCAAGCAGCTATAAGATTCGAGAAGAAATAAGTTTTCTTCTATATACCCTGAATGATGAGTATATCGTTTTTGTGCAAATGTATGTAACAGCTAGAAGGAAGTATTCTACTTTTGTTTTAGCACAATAGAAAAGTTGTCAATGCAGTCTGCTCTCAGTAAAGAAGCTAATTCTCGTCCTTTTGATCATTTTGCAAGAGTCTTAGCCGCTTAGCCTTAATAATGTTCCATGCTTAAGTGAAGCGTTTGCCGCTGTTTGCAGTCGTTGGTCGCATTTGTAATGCGCTTTTCGGATTAACAGCAATTAGACAAATGCTGAATTAATTGTGCCACGATGATGTCATTTCATATGCACATCATATGTATACGTAATTGGAATTTGCGCAATAACATTCTGATGCCTTATACGATATTGAAAATTGCGCTCGTGCTTTCATGTTCGCCTGGCAATTAAGTTCAAGCTGCCATTCTGTGTTGGCATTTGACATTTGACAACAATCCCCACACACACATACACCCACACACATCTATATATATATATATATATACTCACACACATAAGGCACAGTTGCTAAGCCGCAGCAACCGGCTTGGCAATATTAGCGGTGATATGACAAACAGCGAAGTCGAAACCGTCGCAATGCAAACACAAAGTGGCCCGTTTGTGCAACCCAACATTAACATCGAGAGCAACCACTCAGAACTCAGCTAGCAGACAGTTGCGACTTGCGGACACCCTGTTAGAACAAGCACAACCTAACATGACAATACGCCAAATGCAAACCTAACCTAGCCTAGTGTTATGAGAAGTTAAATAATTGTTTAAAAAATCTAATCATCAATGCTGCAAACCACAGCCAAACTAACTCCCTGCTCTTCGGTGCGGGTTGTAAAGCTGTCTTTCAACCTTGAACTCAGCTTTTTGTTATATATTTTCAAAATTTTAATAAAATAAATTATTTTTTTGATTAAGAATGCCCGCTTTACTGCAAATATTTTAAGCCGTAAATATTTTCCAATACAATTTGCGGGCTAAATTTGTTCTCTACCCACAAATGGCATCTACCCTGGTTAGATAAATGCTATGATATTATTGCTTAGATTCGGAGACTCAAACCAAATCATTTTTGAAATAACAAAATATGCTTAGTTTTAGGTATTTTTGTGGCAATTAGTTTGATTTAAGGTTCGATTCTTAGTAAAGAAGAATAAAAAATTGGTGTTCCGAGCTCAAAACTGGCTTACAGCCTTGGTCATCATATTAATCAGCACATTTATTTGGGAATAATTAACACTTCGATTTTGCTTCTAGTTTATATTTATATCATATGTAGAAAGGCTAAGTACTATGTAAAATACAACTTATATTCATAGCACACATATTGCTCGCCAAGCTGTTGGCTACAGGGCATACAATAACAGCAAGAACACGCCATATAATCCTTGCTGAGATGTCGCCGCCAATGAGCATTATGCGCTTTTGTGGGTTTTTAAGTTTAATTAGTGAACGCTCCTTGACTGTTTGGGGGTCACGTAAGCGGGCTTTGTGCCGATAAAATTGCGTTGTCGATTCGGTTTTGAGGTTGGCATACGACCCAATATGATGGTATTATATGTGTGCAGTTTGAGGTGAGGTTGGGAGTTGGGTGTATTTAGGTGCTGTAATTGCTTAAAGATGGCTGTCACTTCAAAAGTTGCCATCACAATTTGGTAGTAGGGTGAAGTAGTGAGGGTTTTTAAAAGGAGGTTTGCTGCATGGTTGGGCTTACATATATACATATATTTATATGTGCATGAGCTACTCATGAGTTTTGTTGAAGAATGTGTGCTTTTGAAGTTTGAATTGAAATTTATTTAAGTAGAACAACTTTGAGCTCGTCCAAATTAGGTCGTTATGGTTATTAGTAAATGTTTCTAATTAATACATATGTTGAATGTTTTATTCAGAGCGATCTAATTGACAGGTAAAACTTTAATGTTCAATGTCTTTTACGAATTTAGTTGCTTTATTTCAATGGAAATTTGTGATAAAACTTTCCTCTTTGTGATTTACCATAAATTGCTCTCACACAATTATTGTCAATGCTCGATGCAGCTACATCTGGATTCACCGGAAACCCATTAAATATCCATCCACACTAACACTTTAAACATACCAATCACTAGCTGGCAACTGGCAACTTTTGAGTTTTATGGCCAAGACCAGGAAAATTCCAAACGTGTTTGTTGCGAAGTGGGAGAGCTTTACGCCATCTGCCAGAATCCATCAAGAATGCACATCCTGTGTTCACGGCAATCGAAATGCAGGCAGACTTCTACCTCAATGGCGCACATATATATAAATAAATGTATATATATATATCGTATCGTATCGTATTTCGGCGTCTTCTTTATTCACAATAGCGTGTGTGCACATACATTTTTAAACTTTGTACGTTGTTGGCTTGTATGCGTTCGTACGGCCAAATATAACTCATACGTCATGTTGGTTACGTCGAAAAATTGTTAATCGCACACAGATATTATCTAGTGCATCTGTATACGGGCGTGGCACATAAAATCATTCATGTGCACATGAAATGATTTCAGCTGCATATTTCTCGGCACTTTTTGTGGCACGAACAAATGTTATAAGTGTGTCACAACTTCACAAGATGTTTTTGATTTAAATAACAGTCTTTTTTATATAAAATTAAGAGTTTTAAAAGTTGACAATGTATAAAGCGTAACTTACAGCTTTTTGTTTATACAACAACAATAGTTGAAAAAAAAGAAAAATTTGAATTAAATTTTTAAAATATACTTAATTGTTTAATTGCACATCAAAGAACTTCATAAAACATTTTTTTACTCTTCATTGTGGTTAATATTTTATATGTTTGCTGCACGTTATGTCAGGGAAAAATACAAGACTATGTCACATTTAAATTAAAATGTTGCAACAAAAGTTTTTAATGAAAAATTAGTTACATTTTAACTTTTATGTATGTGCTTCCGTATGTCTCTCCTCCGTCAAATTGTTTCCGGCTTTTTTTTTATTTGCAAATTATGCTCTACTTTAATTCTCTAACTTTTACTTGTTGTCCATTAATAATGTGCTGCAGAAACGTTAATAAAATTGTGAGAGTAATTAATAAAATGGCCAAAGGCTGAGGCATGGCTGTATGGCTTGAACGGTTGATTTATTTACATTTAAGCTAGCCTTAAATTGAACAGAGCAAACAGCGGGCAACTTCAAACGGACGCAACAGGAAGCGAACTTTAGTATTGGGCAATTGTTCGGTTTCTGAGTTGGGTCGATGAAAACTTTGGCATTGACAATGCTTTTCCAACGCCGAAAGGTTTTTCGGGACCGCTTAACCAAAAAAAAAAAAAAATTGTTTCTCTTTGGCTGCACGGCTTAATTAGCACAAAAAGGCTGCAGACAGTGTCAGCAAAAAAAGAAAACTCAAACAAATTGGTTTTAAATTTCAACATGAAATAGGTTCATCCTACCCAAAATCCCCGCTCTCAAGCCGTTCGACTTTGCCCGAGTCTGTGAAGCAAAAGTAATTATGCGCATAAAAGTAGGCAATGCTTTTTATTTGCCCATAGCAGCCACTTGTATACCCTGTATGACACAAAATGTATGAAAAGGGTGTGATTTTTAATTTTTAATTCGATTTATTACTGAGATATCTGAAGAAACACAAGACAGATATTTATGATCATGGTGGTTATATAGGGTATCTACTAATTATACAAAGTCAACTTTGGCACACTCACTTATTGCTTCTTGCCAGTTTTGCATTGAAAAGTCAATTTTACAAAATTGAAATATGAATTATTGAAGCGTTAAATGGCACAGCAGTGGGAGGGTGGTGAGGGGATGGCACAAAATGCAATGGTTGACAGTCATTGCTATTTTCATGGTGACAGGTTAAAAGACTGGCGAAATATTTATAAATTTTTACAGGCAAATGCACTTATGAAATTTGTAGTTTCAATGTGGTATAATGTTTGCCGACTGTCTATGGTTGGCCACAAGTTAAATAATCCAAATCTGTTTAAATGCGAATGAATGTGGCGAGAACTTCATCGAGCTATGCATAACGTATAAGTGCTAGTCAAAATATACGTATCTACATTTAATGTACCAAAAATTGCAGTTAAATCTTTTAATAATAGTTAAATGCTTATAAGTAGTGCACGTTTGGAAAATTCCACCTGCAAAAGTGTGAAATTGTTTAAAAATGGCTGTTTGTGTGTGTTTAACCGTTCTCTGCGATTCTCATGAATTCTGGTAGGACTGGCAGATCTTCATGCTTTGATTATAAGCATCTAATAAACCTAATCTATGCTCTTTCCCTCAATCTTATTTACTCTATTGTAGTCTTTTACTTTCTTTCTCTTGTTCCCTCATATTTTATTCCGCTTTTTTTCCCACTTTTACTCAACTCGTTCTCCTTTTTTTCAGTGATGTGTTTATATCAATGTCAGTCTTCCTTTTACTAATATATGGCAATCAAATAATCGAGCATAACCCTTCACATATCTGCAACTGGCGGGTAAGTACTTCTTTACATACTCATATAATAATTAAATAGGAATGTAAATAATGTACATTTCATTGTACCTAGTATATACATAACCAGACGCTCAGCTCAATTCCTTTAATCAATACCTGGTAATCTTTGAATTATATTTGTCTTCTCACCTGTTGTTTTGTTAATGCAACAACAAAACTTGTGATAAGATTGTTGAGAATTTCGTTGGTATTATTGTGGACATGTGCTCGTTGAGGCGTATATAATTAAATTTTCGATTTATATGCAGTAAATAATAATGCACTTAGATGACCAATTGCTTTAATCAACAACTTGTTACTTAAAGCTATTTGTGCATTTTAATTGATCGTGTTCTTAATGGCTTATTAAATAATCAACACTATTTTTTAAATGTTTGTGCGTTCTTGCATAAAAAAGGCTTTTGTGGAATTGAATTTTCCATTAATGCATATACATGGCTGAAATGTTTTTCGTTGTTCGGCAGAACCATGCAAACCGCCAACAAGAGGCAGCACAAAGCGACGTGGCAAAGACAGGCAATGTGAAGCCATGGCGACAGGCACCAATGCCAGCACATTTCACACAAATATAAATATTTGTTTATGCCACATTGGGGCGACACAGAAACACAAACAGAGTGGGTAACTTGGGTGGCACACAGATATGAGCTTATGAGCTTTGCAAGTGAGAAGCGCATACTTTGAGAGAAAGAGAGAGAGAGAGGGGGGAGCGGGTGACAAATATGCTGGCCGCATTGCTAACGCTTTTCCCATAGACACCAATCGTAGATAAATACTTTGATTTATTGTCTGCTTCAATATTTCCGCACAATTTATGCTCGTAGCCGCGCATTGGGAAGTCGTATAATTAATATGTTTACCCGGCGTATGCGTTATCTTTATTTCGAATCAATTCTATGCTAGAAATGTTAATGCCTTTTAAAGTTTCGCCATACAGATTGGACTTTAAACTAACATATTTCAGCTTAATGGGCTATATTAAAGTGTATAATGGCAATGAAATTTAATCTGCTGAATGTCAAAAAGTTGTACTTCAATTGTTTACAACATTTGTAAATTGAAAACACCAACAATTGATTGGACTCACTCTCTTTTTAACACTTTAAAAAGAATTGGGTTATTTAGTATAGTCACGCGTTAAGAATGAAGTAGAAACTTTTTCTACGACGACTCAACTGTAATTATAATATATTTACTTATTATATTCACTGAGCTAGATTCAAGAGAAGTTGCTTTCAAGATTTATTTCTCAGCATCCGAAGAAGGTTTTGAATTACTTAGCAATTAATCTGTGCAACAACAAGCAACAGCAGACTTTTCTGTTCATTTTTTTGCTAGTTTTTTCATACAACTTTGAATTTAAGGAAAAACTTGAAAAAAACATAGATGGAAGTACTCTATTAAATGGCAGACATAGGAAATAAGATAATCCAAGCTAGTTAACGCTGAGAAAAACATTCGAAATCATTAAGATATTGACAAAGACATTTTGAAATGTGTAATACATTTTATACTAATTATTTCATTTAGAGCAGCCTTAATAATTGATCGGACACACTAGCTCTCGATAACTATAAATGGGGCTGACGGTTTTACTATATTAAAAGCTAAAGAAATGAAGTGGATAGTTTTGATCGTATTCTTAGCACTATTTGTTAGTAAGTATTACAATATTTACTGACTAATATTACGATCTTTAATCAAATTAAACTGAATTTTTGATTAGCTACTAGACCGTCATGCTGTAAATGGGGATGCTTACTCGTTGGATGCAATAGGGCAAGAAAAAAAAACAGATTTTGATTTATTTGGGCTTACTCCCACCAAAACTAACGATACTATATAATAATACAAATATGTAGGACTGAATAAAATTGAAACTGTTTGTTGACTTCCTTTGAACACGTGCAATCGTTAAATATATTATTAGTTATTAACTAAGTGCTGGGTCCAATCTAGCTTTCAGTTGTGTTTTAGGCATAACTAACGTAGTTTAAAATATTCTGTGTGACAGAGAGAAAAATTAAAGAAATTACTACGAAAGATACTTTTATTTTCACTTTTTGACTTAAAGTTATCATTTGTAAAAGCAAAATACGAATAAGCTTGCCTCTCAATCATAAAGATACATTAATAAGGAGTCAATCCAGACAGAAGTACCCTGTCAAATGGCTGTCAGAATAAAATCCGATAATAATAACTCGGTAACATTTCAACCTTCTCAAATGAGTTATGTAAATTTGTGTGCTTGTATAATGTGCATATCTCACTTTTTGTATCATTAAAAATACCCGCAATTGATTGGAAGCACACGCTCTTAATAGCTAGAAATATTGCTAACAGTTTTGCAATCCTAGAAACTTAAAAATGAAATGAATATTTTGGTAACTAGTATTTTTATTGCTAATATAAAGAATGTACAGCCAATTAATCTGTATTCTTGACTCTAATTTGATTATATTAAAAACTGGCCTGCTGCAAACCCGGATACCTACTGCTCGGATTCTAATGGTAATAATGTGATGAATTAGACAGTTGACAGTGTTATTTGATTATATTCGTACCCGTGGGCAGTCGTCCCTCATCGGCAGTGCTCAATGCAATGGCAAATTGGGCAGCATAATAGGTTATCATGACTTGTAGCCGAGGAGAGGGCAGACGTACTTTCAATATATAGATCACTGCAGTGAGCGCCTCGGATGCGATAAACAGAGCAGCGCCTACGGCAGCCAAGAAGGTCAGGAAACTCTTGACATGCAGGGCAAGTACCAATGAACGCCAGAACATGATGGTTATCAGCGTATAATAGATGGACAAACCGATTAGTTGCATCGTACTCAAATGCCCAACCATGAAAAAAATCGAACCGATGGCCGGTATATAAAGACAGATTCCAAGAACAATCTTCAGCGGATGCCAGCCAAAAGCGCACATATAACAAATGTGTGTCGCACCCAAACAGGTCATGCCCAAGGTCAATAACATCAAATTGTACATGACATCAGCAGCGCAGGAAAACATTAAGCCGATTAAAATCAATTGGGATCGTCGGTAGTGCGTTTTGATCGCAAACGCCTTGATCGAAACATAAAACATCAATGCCACTATGGGCAAGCATCGTAGCGCAGTTGTCCATAGTTCCCACACATGATCTTGACGCACCAGCGTAAAATATAGTACCAAACTTATATAAAACGGGACGAGCTTTACGAATTCAATAGCGATGAAACGCAAGTTGTGGTACATGATTATTATTTTCGCCAGAGCTCAAGAAAGCTGCCGTTTACAGAAAAAAGAATGCGTAAATTTAATAAAAACAATCAGTCATTGGATCAATTGCATTAAGGAAAGGATTACCTTTCTAATTGGGCATTACGTAGTCATTGTGTGGCAGCCAGCCAAAACGAATCAAGAGTTTTGAAATTTCGGAATTTATTATTACAATGGAGACTTTCTGTTTGTTTTTTGCTAGTTTTTTCGAAATATTATGAAAGTTCAAAATTGAAAAGGTACAGGCTCAGCATCATATAGATACATAAGGCATTAATCAAGGCATGGCTCGTCAAAAACACGGCTAAACGGCTGAAAACCCCACAACCCTAACATCGCGACATTCTAAATGGTGGGAGAGTTTATCATTGGGCTGTCATAGAAAATCTTAAAAAAAAACTGACCTACTCTGTGAAAAATGTATGTATGTTTGTAGCATGCCTAACCTGATATACATTTTAGGCAACTTTTATCGCAATAAAAAAAGCAGCAATAATTAATTGGCCACACTAGCTCTATGAAGCTGAAACATACATATATGAAACCAGCTATAAATGGGGCGGTTTCTTATAGTACAAGTTCAATAATAAAAAGTGAAGTGGATACCTTGGATCACATTTGTAGCAATGGCTACGGAAAGTAAGCATTGGAAGTGTTCATTACATATATTACGTGTATTAACTAAATTAATGTATATTCTTGATTTTTAATCAGGAAGTTTGCCAGCACGTTGCGAGGCGTTAAAAATTTAAATTTTGAAATATATTTATTTGGATTTACTTGCACGAAATATCTGTGTATAAGTGAGAAAAATGCAAAGAATTTGTCAACTTAGAACATATGCAATCATTAATAATTTATAAAACATGTATTAACAAGTAGCCGAGTCCAATGTACAATTTCTTTCAGATGCTCAAATGATTATGAAAGCTTTTACCTTTCATTTGATGTGTTTTAGGCATAAGTTATTAATTTTGAAATTTGCCGTGTGACAGACAGCCAAAACGAATCAAGTGTTTCCGATTTTGACAGCTGGGCTGATTGAGCCGAGCAGGTGAAATTAAAGAAGAAATCAAAGATGACATTGCATAAAATGCGATTGTTGATTACTCGGAGGATTTGATTTCCAAGTATGGACGACTGCCTGGAGAGTTCATGAAAAGTAGTTAAAGTGCTGTTGCTTACATTTCCGGCTTTCTGGCTTTAAGACTGCTTCAGCTCTCCTGTCCTTTGACCTCTCTGGTCGAAAACCAAAAACCAGACAAAGCCCCAACTAACAAACTAACAACAACAAAAACCCACAAATATGCCGAAACGTTTGCGCATTCGACATGCCAGTTGCCCACAGTCGACAGTCGGCAATCAGACAGGCTGGAATTGGAAAGGGATTTGCTTGACATCCACCACTCCGCACCATTTCCCCCTCAGCTAACCCTTGACAGGCGCTTCATTGTCGCTATCATTGTTGTCAAGCTGCTCTAAAAACCAAAATGGGGTTGGGGGTGGACAGCAGCAAAAGGCTACAACTTTTACGCACGTTTCTCGCTCATATGTCAAATCGGGTACTCTATTTTCTTTTTGGGGGGCTCTTTTTCTTTTGTTTTGTATTGGATTTTGACATTCGGTTGGTGCCCGAAAATGTTTTTACATGATGAAGGGTTTCATTTGATTTGGTTGGTTTGCCATTTTTCTGGTTTCACCGCCTGTTACACTTGTTGTTCTTGTTTTTGTTGGGCGGTTGAATGTTGATGTGTGTCTGTATGTGTCTGTGTCAAGCTCTAGGGAGCACAGTGTCCGACTCCATGTAGTCACATGCACATTGCCAGGCGGAGCAAATGAAAAATCAACATTAAACATATGCTCTAGTTGAGTAAATCGCTTAAATTTCCATATGGCAACGGGGGAAAGGACTGCCAGCATAGAAAAAATGTGGGGCAACAATCGACGAGATGGCCAACTAAATAAATGAATGGAAAATGTAAATAGTGGAACAATATATGCCTGACAATAAGTAAAGCTCTCTAGCTGAATGGGAATCTATTTATTTCACATTTTATACACTCTATGCAAGCTGTCACGCTGCTTCACATGCAGCTTGTTTGCCTAGATGTGATCCAAGTGCTTTAAAGATATATTAATATCGCTAAATCTAGAATAAATTTAAACTGTTGAAGACATGAGTGCCAGGCAATGTGTCCAATTCGAGGGTATTAAATCGTCGATACTCCAACAGTAATCAGTTTCCTTTTAGTTGTTATATTTAAATACATTTGTAGCTTTTGGCTGCTGCATTTGCTTCAATCCAATTTCACTTAGAGCCAAAACGAAATTCTGCACAGCTGTTGCCACGGTTAGCTCGTGCAACATCCCGATGGGATCCCTTTGCATATTGCAGTAGTAGCTACAACCTGTAGATGGCTGAGAGCTGACTTTGGTTTTAAGAGCTTGCATATGCAAATGTCCTGGCACATTGAAATCAATTTCGCATGAAGGCAAAAAGTCAAATGGCGCCATATGAGATTCCGCATGCAGACGCTTCAATGGGCGGCGGCTCCTTTTGACAAAAGGTTAAATGAACCGGAAGTGTTTTATGCAGCAAAAGATGCAATTATTTATATGGCTACATCAACTGTGCGAGTGTGGGTATTTGTGTTTGTATGCCTGGGCGAATGCCAACAAACGTGCAGAGCATTTGGCATTTGCATACAGAGCGCGCAAATATGAGAAGCCAAGTCACATTCTCCATTTAGTGGATAGCTGCCACTTTAATACCCTGTACCCAAGTTCTGAAGCGGACATATGTGCTCTGAGTAGACATTTATATTCCATTGACAGCATAATGTTATATTTTATTATCTTTAGACAAGTATTGAGTATTCATTTTGTTTCTAAGGTTAACGTCTCCGAATTATATTTGGGCTACATATTTGTGATAGTTCAAAGCTTGACCCGGGGTAGCTTCTAGTCCAGCTCATTCAACTGGTGGACATTGAGTTTTTAATTCCACAATTTTGTTTTCTATGCGCGTCATGCTGTCTTGCCTCCTTCTCCATCGCCTCCATGCTCCGGGTGGAGCTGGTCTGCATTGCACTTAAGTGCTTCAGCGTTTTGTGTGGCGTTGTGTTTGGTTGACAGAGCAGCTCAGCTAAAAGGCTGCCGGACAGACGTGTCAGCCTCCAGCTAAAAGTCATTAGTTGCAGTCAACGTAAACAGGACTCTGGACAACAGTTTCTGAGTGTGAGAGGACAGCAGTCCACTGCTGGCTGCCACTGTTGCCGCTGACAATGATTTCCGCTGTGGCATCTTTTTTTTTTTTTTTTTTGCTGCAAAAAGCCTGTGCGTAGAATATGCGCTTGCAACTTAATTTGCTAATGTGCCACATGCAAACAATTATGCAGCCAAGCTTTGAAAAGGACAACAACCAAATGCAGTGGGCAGCTAAAACTATAACAAAGTCAAATATTTGAAAAGCTAAAAGGCAGCTCTTTGATATAACCTTGATATAATATAATCATGAAATGTATAACGACTAAAGTATATATACTCTAGATCTGCATTAACAGCCCACTTGATATAGCCAGGTGCGTCTGTCTGTTTCTATTTAAACTAGTCTCTCTGCTTTCAAGCTATCTTTAATCTTTTCCCAAGCTCTGAAAAGGACAACAACCAAATGCAGTGGGCATCTAAAACTATAACAAAGTCAAATATTTGAAAAGCTAAAAGGCAGCTCTTTGATATAACTTTGATATAATATAATCATGAAATGTATAACGACTAAAGTATATATACTCCAGATCTGCATTAACAGCCCACTTGATATAGCCAGGTCCGTCTGTCTGTTTCTACTCAAACTAGTCTCTCTGCTTTCAAGCCAGTACATATATTTTGGAGCCATGGTAACGATCGTTCGAAAATTAAGTGCTTATGTGAAAAACTTTCTTTGTGTTTCAAGATATTTTAACCAAGCCCGACTTTTACTTGTTTAACTTAGCTGCTTAAATATAGCCAAATTTGATCAAGATCGGGCTACTATTTTATATAGCTCTCTAGGAAGAATTCCAAATGTGTAACTCAAATATTATTGCATACTTTCGACAACATTCTGACTGACTTTTTGTTATTAGATTTTAGTGCTTCAGCTTGTCGGTAATCGTCTACTTTACTGCTGTAACTGTGCTATATATATTTTGTTTTGTATGTATAAAACAATTGTGAAGTAATTAAACTGGTTATGCCACATGTTAGCTGATACATGTAGTCAAAGTTGTAATTGCAACATGACAGTCAGCCCAGCCCCCAGCCCCCAGCAAAACTGTGCTCCTCAGCTCACAGAATGCCATTGACTATTGTCAATTGAAAAGTTGCCGTACCCCTTGCCCCTGGGCTGTTAGATAGGTTAAAGCCATGGACTATGTTGCTTCACTTGCCACAACTTTTCTAATTTTCTGCTGCTGTATTTGAGTGACATTTTACGCACCAAAACTTTTGTTTAGCGCAACTTTAACAATGTTTTGCTCTTGTTTTTGTTTTAGTGGCTCTTATTGTTATTGTTGCTATTGTAAGTCGTTTTCGTTAAGTGGTTTATCGCGCTTTTCACACTTACGAAATAGCTCAGCAAAGTTCAGTGGTTTACACGCAGTTTACATGTGTCACTTTGTTGTTTGAATAAAATCTATTTTACCTACAAATTTTGTCAATCTGTATTTTCTTTGGCTGCCTTAATTAAATTGCATAACTTTTGTCTTTGACTAAATTAGCGGGAGTCTTAAAAAAAATGTTCATATTTAATATATTATTTTATTTTCAAACAATTAAAATTAAAACCACAATCATAAAATGTTGAGCTGCAATTTAAAACTATTTTCAGTTGAATCTATGTACAATACACAAAATTAAAAAACATATTAAAAAACACTGTACAACAAATTTTATCCAAAAAAAAAGTTTAGTAAATAAAAAGGAAAAGTATAAATCAGATGTCAACACCATAAAAGAAATTAGCGGCTCGTTTCAGGCTCTGTTGGTAGACTATTTTTGGTTGTTATAAATAAGCAAAATTTGAATTAAAAAGTTTGTAATTATAGTTGCCCGTTGTACTGAAAATCTTGTAAACCGTAAATATTTTCATACACAAGCTGCGGGCTAGATTTGAGCTCTACGTAAATATTGCATTTACCAACTGTGGTAACATAAATGCAATGGTTGTTGGCCAAGTTAACAATACTTGGGATCTTCTTCAGCCAGTTTTTATTGTAACGACTTAAGCTTTGATTTATGGTCAAAAAAGAAATTCCGTATTAATTCGCAGCCTCGATTTCTTTAGTGATTATAGACATGAAAAGAAAAGCATATTGAATATAGTTATATATATATATTTTAGTCTTATTTACATTTATTTTGTTGCGTGCTGTAACTCACTCTCGATGTTAAATTTCTGTGGCCGCACAAAGAACCCCTGCTGAACATAATGTCCGAAGCCCAACCGCATCAATGGCAACAAAATAAGTCAGAAGCAAATAGAGACACATATTTGAATGCTGCATTCATACACAGAAGCCTGGCCACATAGTTGCACACATAATGGGTATTTGTCTCCACTAGTTGTGGTCCAGTGCGTGTTCGAATGGGATGGATGTGGTCGTGTGTTGGCCAGGAACGCTTTGGCAGAATCAACTGTGGAGTTGGCATATTTTTTTCATTGCTTTTTTTTTGGGAGCCGGCAACCAAACCTCTTGGTATTGGGCAACCGAATAATGTAACCCCAAACCAAGCGTCCGGAAAAAATGTTTCCAGCAACAGTCACTTCTCACGACTGCCACCACTCTCCGCTGCACTCGGCCCTGTCTAACATATGATGCTGTTACTGTTTCCGGTCCAAAGGAAAATTTGTAATGTACTCAGTGGGGCAGAAGGCCCGGCTCCGGCTCCGGCTCGTAGCTGCGTTTCGGTACGGCCCTGTGGTAGCCCCCACATGAGTTACGGCCGCACATTCGTAATGATTATGTTGCAGTTGCTGGCAGACAGGTAGTCGTTGCCTACCTGGGCAGCAATCCATTGTGGCTACAAAGCGAGGCAAGCAGCAAGCAGCCTTTCAATTAGCAGCCAAAGTTGAGGTTCCCAAGGACATGGCCTGTCCAAAAACTGTTTATTAATTTTTCCTTTAAATTTCCACGGGTCTATTACCCGCACCAGCAGCAGCTGCCATGGTAAATTGACAAACTGATGATTGCATGGACCATTTCGTAATGAACCAACTGAGGAGCTGCGTTACCTAGTTACCACAGAAGACAATCAGCCGACTGATTGTGGCCAAAATCTCACAAGGCCAAAACAACATGACCTTCTGCCTGATTTCGAACTGTTCCCAAATAATTCGGCTGTTGTTCGTTTGTAAATTTGTAATTTCATTTGCATGACTTTTCGGCAGTATTAATCTTGACCTTTTCCATCTGACTGCAAATTAAGTTCAATAACTTGGCTAAATATAACACAGAATACATAAGTCAATTCAAATGCAGCCCAGCTATTGCATTCAGTTGAAAAAGAGTCTGCCTTTTGACTTAAAGCATTCCCTTTTTTCCCCAATTGTTCAATTTTCCCAAAGTCGGGCATGATTGCATAATTGTGGTAATGCATTATGATGCATTATGGTAAACCAACATTAAATGTTTTTTTAAAAGTTAAATTATATTCAACATAATCACGAGCTACATAAGCAAATAATTGTATTATATAATAAATAAACAAATATTACACTATTCTACAAAATTAAAGTTATGTTTCATTGGACAAATACGGCGAAAATTGCACTCTCAACTTTCCATTTTATATATTTAAATTTAATAAAAATAAAACAGGAAAGTTGACTAAGTTTTTATTGCTTATGCTTTCTGTCCTTATCTTGTTGTGCTGTTTAAAGCAAAACATTCTCGACCCGCAATTTTTTCAGTTTTTTGTTGAATATTAACATAACATCTCTTTGTTGCCATACATTTTAAGCCCTAACACAAACAATAGAAACTGAATTAGTTAACAATTAAACCGACATTGTCAAAAATAATATTTGGTTTAGTTTTGCATAAAGTCTCCTAGAGCTAAGGTATTTAATACATGCACACTTGGTTGGCAAACGAAATGAAAATCCTTGCTCCATGGTCATCGCACTGTCAATTTGACAAATTGCATCAATAATTGATTGACCCCTACATGCGGCTCTTTCTATATTTGGCAGACATATCTCCCCAGCGGGAGCTAGAATTCGTCTAACCTTTGTCCTGCAACTCAACTCATCTCAACTCAATCCAATAACAAATACAATGAGGCTGTCGGTTCACTGCAATCAGCTCAGCCACAAAATAGGTTCACAGCGGTCGATAGCCACTCGAATCATTCTTCTGTTGGCCAATGCCAGACGCTCCTTGGTTATTCGGAGTAAATTCAAGTCTTTTACATTTTGACTATATGCTCACATATGACTTACATTTTATTACATTTTGCAATCGGGTCGCCATTCAATTTTCCGGTCGAATAATATTAACATGTGATAAGGAAAATGAGGAAAAACTAAATATTTACTATGTTCAAATTTAATTACACTTTTGGCCTGAGGGATAAGAGCTCAAATTTTTTAAATATTTAAATACAATTTATTCGCATTTTGAATAGCGAATTGGACTCTTACTTCTTTTAAAGGAATGTAAATGTTTTTCTTTTAGCCCACTGCAAATACTCAATAAAAGAGATGTTTCAATTTTCAATTCAATTCAATTTTCTGGTCGAATAAAATTTACAAATGATGAAGCAAATGGGGAAAAACTAAACTATTTACAAATATCTTAAACTTTAAATAAAATTTTGGATTAATGCCTAACAGCTTATAAATTGTAAGTTATTTGAAAACATTTTAATCACATTTTCAGTAACGAATTTAAAACGAAATTAATTAATATAAATACTTTTCTTTGAACGCACCGCGAGTAATTTCGCCAAGAGCCAAGGGCAATACACATGAGCCGTCATTAACACTAACACACACACAAACCCACACACACACACACACGCACACACGCACATGCCCCAGCTCATTAGCTAAATGACCAAAACGTTAGCCAGTGAAAAGCTTAAATCCCTACTTAAAACGCCAATGGAGATAAAGTAAGAACTTGTCAGACGACTAGTAAATACTCTTTATCATAATCTGCGGTATGATTTGTGGCGAGCGGAGATAATATACGACATGTTGTTATCTGAAAGAACGAGCAAATGAATGTCTTGTCACACTTGTTGTGAATTAATTATTGCGCTGTCCACCACGAAATGGAACCACATTTTCATGATGCGTTCTTTTAGAATATTTATACCCCGAGAGATCCATCTGGAAGCACATAAATGGCAAGTGTGCAGCGCTTGCGGTGATTGCCTTGACTGGCTGGTCCTAAAAAAAAATGTGTCATTAGCATGCCACGAATACGAAAAAGTAAACCAAAAAAGCTAAAAGACCATTGCAGGACCAACGTGTAAGGAGGAAGCCGCATGCGAGACTGGTGTGGTTGGGAGTACATTAAAGTTGTCGCTGACATACTCAAGCTTAGAAACTTTACAAGGACTGTCCTCAGGCTTAACTTATCACAAATCAGAGACAATTCATATTTATTTCCAGACAGCTTAAAGAGAATTTGTGTACAGCAGAAATGCAAATAATATGACAAGAAAACATAAAACAAATAATTGAAAGAGCAAATGATTCAAACGGGATTTAAGTGGATTTTTAATAAAAGTTTTTAGGATTTGCTGATCTATTCCTTGTTTTTGTAAGATTTGTGGCTTTTGGTCGGCCTGCATAGTATGTGTTTTAATTAAAACAATTTAATTGTGATAAATTTCTGCCCCTGCTATGTGCAATTTATCTTTGATAAAGTGCTTCATTTATGATGTCTCTCAGGAGTAAAATGTTCTTCGGAACATTTTAAGATATGTGCCTTGAATTAATTCGTAATTATTTAATATGCGCTGACAAAGTTATTTCACTTACTTGTCTGGCATGTAATTACCCAGAACTTTGCTCCTTTTATGTCTTGTCGCAGGGCGGGGCGCAAAAACTTTGCCCATTTTGTTGAGCGTTGCTCATACGCCTCGTGTTCGGCGTTGTCAAAACTTCCTGCATGCCAGCATTTTAATTGAAAGCAAAAATAACTGGCACACCTCAACATAAGCAAAGTAACTTGTTGCTTCTTGTGCTTACTCCTGGGGCACATCATTCCGCCCTTTGTGGATGCAGTCAACGCAGTTTATATTTGGCCGTAAATTATCAAGTGACAAATCGCTTGTCTGTACATTTGTTCTATACTCTGCCAGTTGTTTGTTTGTACTTGAAAGCGGCAACACGACAAGCTTGACATGCAACAACAACAACAACGACTTACACACAAAAATACAAGCGGACACTTCAACACGCAACAATTGACACGTGTGGGGCCCACACCCAAAGCATCACAGTCCTAGACGCATAAAGAATGGCTTTGGGCATGTATGAGCTGAATATGAAAGACAATTACTTAATTGACACGGCTTACTAATCGGGTGTCTGTCTGTTAAATATTCATACTAAGCTTGTAACTAACGTTGAAAGTAACTTGTCATTACATTTCTACTTTCTACATTAAATAAAATACGCCCTGGAGTAAATAAAATTTAATCTGGGCAAAACTGAATTATATCCTTTGAATAAAGTGAGTAAGTTTATTTTAAATTATAATTATATATAGTCTACGTTTTTGTGGGTTTCACATATAACATCTACAGTTGATAATATTCCCAATACTTAAGTAGCTCCACAAAGAATGAATTTTGCGCTTTAAAATTGCCAACAAATACAAAAAAGAAATACACATATTTAGCAATTTTTTTGTTTAACATTCATTATTTATTAAATATTTCGTAAAATGCATTCCGTAATTTGCATTGAAATTAAAATATATATTTTAATTGGTTTTTATTGATAGCTGAATCAATGTTTAATACTTGGCTGCGACGGCTTTTTTGCTCACCATTTACTTAACAATTCACATTTATTATTAATATAACACATTTATATATATGTATATATATGTATGTATGTTTGTGTTGCCAATTGATATATGATTTTACATTTATTTGACTTAAAGTTTGCTGCTTGCGACATTCATTAAAAACATTTTAATTTGTGAATCGTAATGCACAATTAATTATATAAGTTCGTATTGGCAATTAAAATCATATATTATTTTTATATAATATATTTGTAATTTTATTTTTTATATATTTATCTTAAAAGATTTCTGCTTTATTTGCTAGAATTTAACACACAACAAACATATATGGATTTTAACCTCGTTCTTAGATTTCTACACGTTCATTCATGACTTTTATAAATATGGCTTACTTACGATCAAATTTTCAAATAATTAAACATTCATTTTGAATATTTTGTAGTTTTGTCTGCGACTTTTTACTTATGAGTCTTTCACAAAGATTTTACTACACATAATTACTAGACAAATTGTATATTGTATATCGTATTTTGTCATTAACTAAGTAGATTTTTTTTTTGTTAAGTATTCGTTATCTCTTTTGTCTTTAATGAGTTTATAGATTATCATTTAACACAAACCTTACGCATTAAATCTTCAATTACATATACTTAAGATTCTATTAAACATTCAGTGCCTTTAACATTTTCTTTAAGCCTATAATTAATATTTATTTGGCTTTATGTTTTTTCTTTTAATTTTTATTATTAGAATTTAAATTCAATTTAGTGTTTTGTGCCGTTTCAGAATTCAGTTGAAAGCCCTGCTTAAGTGACAAATAAGATTGCAATTCAAAATTGCGTCTCGTTTTTCCACCTGGCTTACCACACAGCTTGTGCTCTTGAGTATTATATTGATATTCAAATATATGTATGTATATATGTATATACTATATATATTTATTCATATTGAGGTGTACCACAAAAAACATTTTATGTGTCAACATTTATCTTGTTGCATTTTTTTTCCTGTCTCTACTTTTATTATATTTTATTTTTTTTTTTTTTTTTTGTAGACCAACTAACAGATATTACGTATACGCAGTGCAACTTTTTCTATATGACAAACCAAAAGTACACAAAAATCGCTGACATTTTTTTGAAAGCTTAATTTACAGGACATAGCGCATTGGCTTGAGTTACAGTAAAACGATTCGAGAGAATAATAGTGTGTCATCCTCTGGCAACATCGCCTGACATAAACTTTCAAAAGAGGGGCTCAGGGTCAACAAGACTTTGAATACTTTTGGTTTTCTACTTTTTTTGTGTTTCTTTTTGGTTTTTATTTGTAGTTATTCTCTTTTTGCTTCACGTCATGCCCAGCATTTGTTACTCTAAATTTCCATTTGCTTTTATGCTAAATTAAATTCTACAGTCAAACCACTTTGAAAGCGTGTCGAGCAGATTTTGTTTTTTTTCTAAATCGGCTTACATATCTACGCAAATTAGTTTTTCATAAAACAGTGTCAAGCCTTACACAGGTATTTTATAATATTGAAACTCCCATCAAAGTAACGACTAGCAAATTATTTTATCTCTAAACATTTTCACTTGCATTGCTTTTCGCCTAAACGTGAGTGTGACCGTATATTTAAAACATTTTTGAAATTAAATTATTCCGAAAATTGAGCCACAAAAGAAGGTAGATTTCACATGCATAGAACTTGTCACTTTTTATCCGGCTAATAGTCTAAGCTCTGGTTTGAGCCACCAACTAAATTTCAATAAAATGTCTATGCAAACAACTTTGAAACATCCGTCAATTTGGTAAAATTTGACTCCAGCCCATTAACTTGTTTTCCAGCAGCTGTCAGTCGATCGACAAATATTTCTCTCGACTTGCTGTGGCCTACACAAATCCCATCAATGTCAGCTTAGGGCTTATTTTATTTGGCTCAACATTGTTTGCCAGTTTTGTTATTTTTCTTTTTAGTTGGGTAAATTATTTTCTTTGGTTTTCAGCATTTTACTTTTGTTTTGCTGCCATTTACCTTTTGTTGTGGTTCTGTGCTGACATTTTTCCGCGCAATTGAACCAAAAATTGGCACAACAAATTTAATTCCAACGACAACCGAGTGAAGCATTTCTGCGACAGTTAGACGCAGAATTTTGAAATTGAAATCGAGGTGACGCATATTGCCGACCCATATGGAGTATACCGGCGTTTTAATGGATTCGCCCGACTCCCTGCAAGGCTGTGCAAATATGCGAAATGGCGCAGCAAATGCTGCGAATGTAAAGCGGTAAAAATAAAAAATATTTATAGAATTGGTTGTCAACGCCTTTGGGGCCTGCCTAGATACGGCTCAGTCACACCCACTTAGATACCCACACACACACACACACAGACACACATACGCACACTTACAAATTTGATATCAAGCGATTTGAGAAGCTGCTTCAGCCAATTGCTTGGGGCACTGTTGTGCTCCAGCCTCTCCCCCTCGCGTCCCTGCGCGGCAATTTTCGCATCGTTGTCACTTTATTTGGCATTTATCAGCACTTTTCGTGCCACACAGTACGACTAACAGCCACTCCCACACGCCAACATACGCCCATACTCTAAAATTTTGCACTTCCAGCTTTGTAGTTTATGTCACATTCCCCGACACTTAGTTGTCGTCGATATCCTTGCCACTCTCGAAGACCAGCAACTGCGCCTAGAAATGTGTTTCGAAAATCTGTAAAATACGTAGAAATACTTTAGAATTTAGAATTTGGCAATTTCATATATGTATGCTAGCAAGTATCGAGTTTACAAAAGCAACAAATTGGTTTACATTAATTTTCAAGTTTCAGTTCTTTCGAGCTACTTATACGCCCAGATAGATGTGTTTGTTAAAGCAGCTTATGCCAATTTGTCTGCCAACTTATGGCGCCAACTTGGCAGCGCAGGGCAAAGCGCCTTAGATGCAAATGCGGTGCTCCTGGCAATACTTGCGACAGCCTGACAAATGTTTTACCGTCCAAAATGTTCAAGTCTGGAGCAGCGCGGCGCATAATTTCTGACGCCAGCCTCGACTTGATGGCCATGTCATGGCGTGTTAATCGCCACTGTCAAGGCAAAAAGGCAAATGAGCAGCAACAAATACACAAATATAAATAAATATGAACAAATTCCAAGCAGACACGCCCACACTCGGCGACCAGCACCCGCTGGCTGCAATTAGCATTAGCTACTTGTTGCAGCTTATTCAGGGTCACGAGTGCGGGCGCTCCTTTTCATATTTGACTCGCATTCATAATAAACTCGCAGAACGTATACACGACATTGACATTCTGCTGGCCAGTCCATTAAAATTTTAATTACATTTCATATTTTCAACAAATTAAAGATAATTAATTATAACTTTGCACTCGAAAGCTGGCCAGACCGATGTGGAAAAGATACAAACATTTTAATGCAGTAAAAAATTTCGTTAGCAGCTCTTAAGACTTTAAATTAAATTCTGGTTTCAATTACACGTAAACCTTGTTAGTAAAGAAATAAACTACTTTGTTAGTTCCTTTACAAAAGCACGAGTTTTTGCCAAACAAGAAAACTAGTTTCTATATATAGATTATTGCATCAAAATGCCTTCTTTAGCACACACGGGAGTTTCAGCTGTGTTTTGATTACATTCCTGTATTTTTAATTTCATTTTCAATCTCGTTCAAGTGTACACACACACACACTCACACACACACACACACACCTAGGTGCATTTCGAGAATGTAATATCGCACATGCCAACACCCTGATGAAAGATTCAGCTAAATTTATTTTCGTGCTTTGAATTTTTATTAATTCTCGGCTGAATTTTGTTATTTTCAGCCCTTCACTGACTATTTGCATATGTGCTAGGCTTTTTGACGTGAGATTGCTAAAATTAATTGAAATGACAAAAATAATGAATAAATTCCTGGGGGACATGTACGCAAAGGCAAACACCAAAATAGATATAGATATACATAAAAATACAATTGCATAATTTTAGGCGTTGGCTCACGTTGTCATTATTAATTTGCAATTTGCCTTAATGTCAAATTGATCAGGTGTTGTAAGCTATTTGGTTAAGCACAAATTTATCTATTAAAAGAAGAATTCTTCATATTTCAATATGATTTGCATATAGATTTATTTCTCGTCACAGCTTCACAGGTGTAATATTAAATAATACATTTTCATTAAAATTACGCCATACCAACATTTTGGCCAGAATCTTTAATGACAGCTCGCAGCTAAAATGAAGACGAACTTAAGACTCCATTGTTGGTAATTGAAATGAAATGAATTTTCTATCCAGCAACAACTACATATAAGAGAAGCAGAGCTGCGACCCAAAACAAAGGTAAACTTCGCCTTGAGCCTTCAATGTTTCGCAGTCCTCTAGTTGCCTAGAACAAAGTGTGCAGTGTCCGGGAACTGGATCCGGGCAACTACCTTTAATGCCACTTTATTAAGTATTCATTATTGTCAACTTGGATTGTGGGTTGCGGGTTGCGGGTAGCGGGTTGCAGGTCTGCGGCTGGTGGTTAACTTAGCCCGGCCCAGCCGAGGGCGAGTGAGTTGACCAAGTTTTGTGTGTGCGTGTGTGCGCCTGCTTTAAGCCTCGTTGTGGTCCGTTGTGGAGAACTACATCTGCTTGGGTGGAACATTAATTGCCAGCGGCACATTGATGTTTATGTAATTAATTTTAATTGCAGCACTTTTCTCCATCTCATTCTGGGCGCTAAAAGTTTCTTTTTATTGTTTTGTTATTTTGTTTGCTCTTTTACAGTTTTATTATGAGCAACATTTGTTTTCATGTTTGCAGTTGACAAAGTGCTCAACAAAATCAATAATCATAGCAATAAAATATTTAGCTACACGGCGTACGGGTCGTATGCGCAATAAATAAATTATTGAGCATACGGCTAAACACAATAGAAGCCAGGCAACCAATGAGCTCATGAGTGCGATATATAGCTTAAAGAACTGTTGGAATAGAACCTCCATTAAGCACGACTTTCACATACCCTGGATGTATGTATTTATTTGAGAAACAAACACTTCATTACATAATATATAATAATATATTATAGTTCCGTCTTGATACTTTAATTTCATCACATTTTTCAATGACCTCGGCCCAGTGTGCGGCACTTGCCACCTGTCAGCTCAATTTTCTAGCCAGAAATTACTGTCTTAATAGGCAGCTCATCTCATTTAGCTGCTCAGCGTCTCTTGCCCAGAGTGGTATTTAACTTGTCTCAATTAGAGGCCGACAGAAACGAACTGTTTTCCATGTTGGCGGCAACTGGCCAAGGCCCTTAGGCTCCATGGCACATGCAGACAAGACATGCACAACCTGCGGACGTGCTGGCGAATGTTCTTTTTAATGAATCGCATGCTAAGTATAATAAACAGACGCAATGCCAAATTAAACGAGTTGGTAATTAGGCTGGCAGAAAGCAGCAGAAAATACAAAAATAAATAAAAACGCAAGCCAAGAAACGCAAGAACATAAACATAACGCTCAAGCTGAAAGTCATAGCTTAGAGGAGTGGGTGGCTTTGGGGTGGACCATAACTTTGTTTTCGTTGTGACATCATCTTTTCATGTTATTATTAAACTCTAAAATCCCGCCAAAGTGACAGTCTGTCATCAGTTTTTATTTTTAAATTATGCGCACACAACAAAATAATTATAACAAGTGCTGGCAAAAGCATTTAAATATCATAAATGCTAAGTACATCAGGGCAGGAGAGCATTCAACACACACACACGCACACACACACACACGCACACGCACACATACAACGACAACTCAATGAAATTTAATGAGTTAAATAGACATCACTTTAAATGCATAAAGCCCGCCGCCAGGAAGTAGACAAAAGCGTTGGCAACGCCTGTGAAGGACCCAAAATTAAGCTGATGTATTTTTAAATTTTGCATATATTAATTACCATAGATTTAAATGACATCAGAAGCCTTCTTCTACTTAAAAAAATATTCTTCAAGTTTTTGTGTTAATGCACTTAAATTATTCTGGGCAAAGCATAAACTTATGCATTCGCTATTATTGTTATTTTTTTGCTGCTTCAAAATGTTTGTTTTTTTTTTTTAGCAAAACGAGCTGCGAGTTCATTAAAGGCCAGTTTCACTGTATTTACATAAATGTATATTCCGGACAGAGCGCATGCAAATATTTGTTGTGCCTGTCAACAAGACAGACAAACAAAAAGGCTTCAACAGGCGCCAAACTCACGAGCACTCAACTCGAAAGTGGAATGAGGGTTTTAGAGGGTATTTTGCAAACAAATTGAAATTAATTCGTATCAGATTTCACATGCTTATCATGCCTGTATGAAGACAGCATTATTAGGTAATTATTACAGCTTTGGCAAGAAAAAATATAATCAACACGACTTTGTCTGAAGAGCAGCTCAATCGATTTAAGCTAAATACATTTAATTACTCTTTCCTTCTCCTGCTCTAACTTTAATCCGCTCTTTACTTCTTTTATTTTTCAGTGATGCTTCTCGCTTTAACTAATATGAAGACATTAAAATAATCATGCGTGAATCTTAAGGGTAAGTGAATATTTATAAACATGTTATATATAAATAAGAATCAACGTAAAGGCAATTCCGACCTGGGCAAGGGTTGTCTCCTAGTCTAATATATCTTTAAGACCAACTACGAGAAGGGAGTTCTTAAAATGTAAGCTTGCCAGCGGAAGTTAGCTCGAAGCAAAGGAAAGAAAATTCTGAAATATTTCTAGCTCTCAATAACTGACACAAAACGCGCCTTAGAAATGGACTCAAACTTCGTATATTTGGGCATTCCATTACTTATGAAAGCTGTCTCTTAATTTGGCTGCCGTGCCAAGAAAAATGATGAGCAATTTGCCCGGCGCTATCAAAGATGCTTTGCTAAATGTGGCGGGTAACTCGAACGTTAGAAACTACTCGTCCGAGCTGTCGCAGTCGCAGTCGCAGTCGTTGTCGCAGTCGCTGTCGGAGTCGCTGAATAATTTGTGCACATAAATCTCAAGTGCCCCAAGTCGCTTATGTGTGTAAATTATGTGGCATTATTCAAAATATTAACTTGAAATCGCACAAGGATGACACTGAGCAGGCCCCGAGTGTTGACCTCCTGTGCGTCTCTGTGGCCTTTTGTCCATTTTCAAGTGGCATTCGTAATTTCTGGTTGCGCCCATTATGCTATAGACAAAATTAAATTCTCGATTTTATATACGTCGCTTTTGTAATATTTTTAGCTTTCACGCTACTTATGGGAATTGTCACATCTTCCTGCCCCTGCCCCTGACCCCCGTTGTTGTACCCTAGTTAGAGCCCGCCTGCGGTTTGTTTGAGAGTTTATAAAATTAATTTGCCTGCGGCAGGCGCACAGTGCGTATTAATGTATATATGGGCTGGGAAAACGACCGGCATCAGTTTGGGTCCCAAGCTCGTGCCTCAAAAAATACAGAGAATTTTAATTTTAATTCACTCACAGCGATTAAATAATGTATAAGTTACCCAGCCAGGGATTTTGCGGAAAGATTTGATTGATATGCCAAGCACGTAGAATGGGCAGGGCGAAAAGGAAAGCACGACAACAAATCGAACAAGTAACCGGAAGTGGGAAAATGGGAATTGGTTGGCCGACAGACAGGCCCAAATAATACATAATCATAATATTAATGCTCAT